CAAATCGAATCGAATACCAGGCTCATGCTGTGTCTACATCTCACCTTGAGTTGCAGACTGTCATCCACCACCGGGTCGGTTCCATCTGGCCGATATGCGTTTGGGTTCTCCCTACCAGCGCCATTCCATATCTGGACCATAAGTTCAGCCAATCTCCAATAAAGATCGTTCTGTATGACGCTTGTGGTCCGGATGGCCTGAATGGTTCTGTGGAAGAGTTCCCGTCCGCGATCAAAATCAATAATTTTGGCGAAGAAGGAGCGCAGTAGCTTGAGCAGTGAGAACCCGGCAGCTACCAGCATCTGCTGGATAAAATTGGAGGCGTACTTGAGCATGTACTGATCGCGGTATTGGTAAGAATAGTGATCGTGGCAAGACGGGTCGCCATCCAAGATGAAGTCAAGGAAGCTCGTCGTAGCTCTCCAAAGCCCCATAAGATCATCCAGGTAGTTGGGTGAGTTGTTGGAATCGAAAAAGCCTGCAAGGCGTAGATGGAGGCCAGCAGCCTTGAGATGGAGGTTGACGACCGGTGAGACACCCTTGGACAAGACGGAAGCAGCCAGCTCGTTATAATCGCGACGATAAACGCGCATTAACATGGCTCGATGCTCATCGCCTGCAACGCCCCTAGGATCGCTAGCATTGCTGTACATTTCCTTTGAAACCTTGTCACAGAAGCGTTCGATCTGGAGTCTAGCCTCGAGCTCTGGACCCAGCGAAGCAGGACTTGTATCGCCTTGGCGAGTAGCCAATGTCCAGTCGTATAAGGTTGTTGCCGGTTGACCATAGCCTGTGCCTACAGCCTGCGCCACGATATTGGCGACGGCCCACGTCTTGATTCTATCATGGAGACCCTCCTTGTTGAGCTCTATAGGCACCCTCGAGAAGTCGTTCATGTGATTTGGTCGATGAAGGCCCAGACCGGTGGCCGTCTTCATCAGGACACCACTCAGAATGTGGGTCGGGTCGGATGATGATGTGCTGGTCGGAAGAGGCCATGTGCAGAGGAGGCACAGCGCCTTGACAGCAAAGTAGCTTTGAGGCACCTCGCCGATGGTAGTCCAGAGCAATCTTGTCAGAGGGCTGGATAGCTTTGTCAAGAATGATCGATCGTGGCCATAGCGCCTGCTGGCCACGGCCACTATGGCCCAGTAAAGCAAAGGATACTGTTGGTAGTACTGGTCTGGGGTCTGATGGGGATTGAGGAATGGGAGGAATGGGTGATAGTAGTGGAAGTAGTCGTTAAACAAAACGCCTTCGTCATCTTCCGTTATCCTGAAGTCTTCAAGCTCACGCACGATCCTGGGCATGGCATAGGAGCCTCCACGCTTCAGGTGAAGCAGAGAAGAGACAGCCTCGTCGGAACCCATCAACGAGGGGTTCCTTGTGTGCGAGTAATGGCTGTTAATCACAGGGGAGTGTAGTTGGGAGTGCGTGGCATTGCCTGGGGTGTTGTTGTCATCGTCCTCGTCGACAACAAAACCTTGGGATTTTGCACTTTGCACCGCGCGTCTGAGCCTCTCGATCTCTTTCTCCATCTCGGCATGCTTACTACGCTTCCCGACGCGCTTGAAGTTAGATTCGATCTTGCATTCGAGGTGTAGACGGTTGCATCGTGAGCAGCTAGAGAAGGGTTCTTGAACGACATCGCATCGCAACTGTAAGAAGACGAAATGTCAGCAAGAAGGGTTCGCGACTCGGCAGTTATCTTCTTAGATTCATACCTTTTGTTGACGACACTCGTTGCAGGCGCGCTTGACACCGGGCAGCCGGCGGCCACCCTTGGTCTCGGGGGAGCCATCGTCGCGCTCTTCACGGTCGTTGTCTCCTGTGCTAGCAGGGCTGCTTTCCATGATGCTACGCTTGCGCTTTGGGGGACCACCGTTGGGGCCCTGGTTGCGCATACCAGCCGAGAACTCGGGGCTCTCCATGGTAATGAAATAGCAGAGACGGAGAGTACTGAAGACTGTATGGTATAGTGTAGTATAGTATAGTATAGTATAGAGGTGTGTGTGCTGGTGTTGTGGTACAAAGTCCTCGGCGCTAAAGTGGTCTCACTAGCCAAATGCTCCTATGGCCGAACCGTATCAAAACACGGGAGCGGCAGCCGGGGCGGCACACGGCAGTAGTCAATCGATCGGAGGAAGAACTGGGCGGGCCGGTGGCGTCAACGGGTCGGTAGACGTCCAGGGCGGCGCGGTGGTCGCGTGATGGGGCGACCCGATGATCCGGTACGGTATCCGGGCAGACGTCGTAGTGGTGGTCCGGTGTCGCGATGGGGCGATGGGCGATATGGGCCGATGGGCGGTGGTCGAGGGTGATGGTGAAGAAATTGGGAATCCGAGATCGGGAAGTTGGGGGGACGCCCGGCGTGTTTAAGGTTGATGGCGGCACTGGCGATGGGTAAGGTACCTGGCAGAGAGAGCTCTTCCTGTTCTGTCCCGTCTTCCGTCTTCCGCAGCTGCTGCTACCTCTTACCTCTCTAGCCTTGCAGACCAATGCAGACCCGGACCCAGTCGAATCGGCCCAATCAAGTTTGGCGATGGGGTCGCCGGTCAAACCACTGCTTAGCCAAGCAGTTAATAAGAGTCACAGCTGAGGCACAACCAGGCCGATGCCTTCGTTCAGTAATTGCCAAAGCCAAGACACCAGTTGCTGCGGATGTGGATTACCGAATTGTGTTGTAATGGTGTACTATGGGAGAGGTATGTAATATTCAGAGGAGGTACATATCAGATATGCATGCACGGTCACTGGCTGGTGCCCGGACGGTGCCTCTGGCGTGTCCAGTGTAATGCCGCGTGATGCTGAAGATGGATATGAATAGCCCCTTCGTTCGGGTGGTTTCAAGAGAGACAATAGACGCGCAGAGGTACCTAGAGGGAAGATAGTAAGATGAAGCAACATTGACGGTGGCGGGACTATTAGGTAGGTAAACTGAGGAGTCGTGTATTGAAGCGGGGGATTCAGTGCCGCTCTGCTCTTTCCCCCGTAACATCGACGATTGCAATGGGAACTGAATGGCGCAAAAGATTTTGATAGTGCCCTGCAAAGCCTGACTTACGCTGCAACGCTGCGTCAAACTGCGGGGCCGTGGGATGGCTGGAGACTCAAACCCACATTCTCATTGGATAAGACAGGTTATAGGCCGCATTTCCGTGCTTATAAGAATTACATGTGGCAAGCAGCCGACGAATGAAGGCGCTGGCGAATGGTTTGCACCTTGACAAAATCAACGAACTCTGACCGGACAGCAGCATGGCGCGACGAACACCACGTGTGGAATGGGTACGCCAAGTGCTTGTCTTGAGTCCGATTGTTCTCTAATTGACCATTTAAGAAGGTACAGTCCAAAGACCCAATCGACGCTTTTCTTCTCCAGACTGGGAGGTTTTCAGCTATAGCAAGTCACTTTTGAGCTTAACATATTACTTGCAATACATCCACGAAAGGACATAACTTGATCATCTTGCTCTTGTCATCGCTTCCACTGAACGACCTTTTGGGTTTCGTTTCACACAGTCAGTGTGGACACTTCCCTTGTTGTTGACACTTTGAGGTGGACTCTGTGTGAAAATCGAGGATGACGAATCTTTTGTAGTGGATCTCGCCAAGGCCTGCCCCCGCCATCGTGCCGGGCAGTTTGGGGCAATCCCACCGAAGCTCGCCTGGCCGTAACCTCCTAAAGGTAAGGTAGCGGTCCCTGACGGTCCCTGACAGACAGGCACAAAGTCTTAAAGTCGATTAAGCTTTGGGCCACATTAAAATATGTACTGTGGATATCATTGAGTTGATTGCCCCAAGGCGTGATTCGAAGCCATTCTTGGGGCTTATTTCACCGTAGAAAAGGTACTTTGGGCTTTTTCACTAGGATGCAATACTCTTTGGTGTTCATCGGTGGAAATGGTGATTTCATTGTTTTGGCGTTGGAGTTGGGCTGGTTATGGTGGCTTCAGGATTACACATTTCCGCGCATTCAGTAACGAAAACTTCACCTCCCATCTTTTTTGGTTCACCGGGTCAAGAAGTAGTTTGAGGGCTCTGGTTGGCTGGAAGGTTGATAGGTAAGCGGGGCAATTCTATAGAATTTCGGGAACACCGATGATTTTCCTCGGCCATTTTCAGCCGGTGAAAACGCCAAAAAGAAATCGCAGTAGATCATACCCTGAGTCACAGAACCCGCACCGAGTTCATTCCACGCCCATCCGAGTCTATTGCGAGATCAATTGCCGTCAACCACAGACAATACAACGCCATCTCCTTCATCAATAAAAGTGATGCTGTCAGGTAAAATTCAAAAGACCCGGACAGCACCGCCCAAGTCCACATCTTCTTGTCTCCAGCTCGGCCCGGAAAGGTAATGGCTCCATGCTTCTTTATCGCTCGACATGGACCGGCATCCGATCTAGTTTCGGAACTGTTTCCGTAGGGGACACGGCGCTATCCACGGCTCACGGACAGCGATACCAACGGCGTATGGGTCTTTCTTAAGACCACTTGGCTACCGTTCTAGCCCTCTCCCAACCTCCTACGGTCGCTATTGCGTGATGGGCTCTGGTGGAGCCACCTCGGTGCTCTCAACACCCATTCCTTGTTCAACTCCCCCATCTGCCCCATATTCCCCACGGCATGGCATCGCGACGTGGGACTGGACAAGACTGAAAAATTGAAAACAAGAGACCTCACTCAACTTGGAAATACATAAACAAACCTATCCACTCCCATCCCCAATACTTAACTCGACTTTTACCAGCTAGGCTCCTTACTGCCCTCAGCAATCCACGGTAGTTGGCCCCTTTTAGTCTGGCAGTCAGGCGGAACTTGATATCCACTGCCGGCGTGGTACGGCCTACGGGCGGACACGGGATGGGAGACACTTCACGCGGAACCTTCAGCTTGTTGTTCAAGAAGCTCGATTGTCACATGCCACTGATGTGTTTGCTAATATGTCATGGGCCTCATTGAGTACTGTTTCCAATCTTTCGTCTGCCTGAAGGGGACGGTCAAGCAGTCGAATGTTGCACTAGAACCCTCAGCAAGCTACCACGTGGGGAAGCTTTCCAACATCTCGGTAACTCGTCCCTGAAGTGTGGTTGATGCATTAGTCCCAAGAGTCGATCGGAACGCCGTTTGGGCGGGTAACGTTCCGTACCATAGACATGCAAACAATTGGCGTTTCAAGACATGCTTGCAGTCTGTCTCCACCAAGGTTATCATATCTGAAGTGAAGAACTCGACGCAAGCAGTCGTTCATGCATCTGAGCCTCAGCCAGTTCAGCTAGTACCAACCGCTTTTCTTTGGGTATTAATCGCTGAGGATCCATAAGCTATGTAACGGTATCTGAGAAGAGGCCTGGAGTTATCAATCAGGCTCAGACTTGATCTCGGGTCAATTTCTCTGAGAATATCAAAACGGCCTGCCAGGTTCTTACAGGCCGAGTGAGCCCGATCTCGGAGTAGACTTTGTAAGTGAGCCGAATCCGGGAGCTCTCCTTTTGTGGTATAAAGCTTGGGAGGAGGAGAGGTAGGGTTAGGGGTAAGAAAGGCAAGCGGTCAGGGTCATGCGAGGTTGACGGAATTCTCATTGCAAACGTCGCGATACTTAGAAAAATGTCACTACTCCCCAGCTCTTAAATAAACCACTGAAGCCATATACTACCCAGTTCTCTTCAGTAGAAGTGAAAAAGAGACAATTTGGCGATAGGAAACCTCATCTACAACTCAAACATGAACGCCAAGACAATGCGGCGAAGCTCCCGCAGATAACCCTCAGGTCAAAGTAGCTCCAAGCATACCCCTGTCACAATCTGAATGACGACACATCAACTCCGACTGTCCTGACTGTGAGCATCAACAACTACTGTGTAAACCACCACTCCAAAAGTCCGTCCGTCTCGAAAGTTCCAGTGAGAATGGGTGCGGGATCCTCAAAGGTTGCGCGCAAATTACCTAAAAATGCGACAGCCGCCTCTCTCGCCGCCGCGTCGCGCTCTGGCGTCGCTGCCGCACCAAGAGCCCCCCCTCCTCGCGTAAACGGGGGACAGGAGGCGCCATCGCAGTCGCAGATGGATTCAGCTTCATCAAATACTTATGAAGAAGGTAAATAATCCAAACCATGTCCTTCATAATCCTAGCCCTTGCTCTATGAGCTACGAATGGAATAACCTAACCACGCCCAACCCCGCAGCAGCAGCGACGTCGACTCAAGATCAGTTTCACCACGGTCAACAACCACCTACAAGGACATCATCATCATCAAAAACCTCCTCATTCCCATCTCCAACAGGATCAGGTTCTCCCCTCGACGCAATCGGCGACCCCGCCTTCGCCGCCCGCCTGCGTCAACTCTCCGCCACCGTCCAACCCAACCCCATCCACTCGCCGTCGTCCACCGTCTCCGTTCATCCTCAACCCCAACTTCAATCGCAGCACCTTCCGCCGTCCTCCTCCTCCTCTTCTTCCCAATTCCAGTCCCACCAGTTCCCTTCCAGGCGACTGTCCCCTTCTCAATCTCAATCTCAGTCTCAGTCTCACGCACAACAACAACCCCCCCAAAAGGAAAACATCCCCACACTCCTCTCGCCCTCGTTCCCCGCTTTGCAATCCAATGCCACCCTCACCGCGCTTGATGCGCGTAAAGTCTTGGAGCGCAAATACGAGGAGGAGATGGATAAGTTTGGGAGAAACGACAAGAGCTTCCAGGGCAGGCAGTTTTTGTCGGTGCAGATGGTCAAGGATGTGTTTGAGTTGAGGAAAAGGGGTGCGAGCGAGGAGGAGATTGAGAGACGGTTGGGATTGGCGAAGGGGGTGGTTAGAGGGGTGGAGGGGGGTGGGGTTGTGAGGGCTGTAGCGCAGGTGTAGTGGAGGCGCGGGCTTGAAGAAGGGGAAGGGGGGATATGAGAGGGAAGGTGGTCGCGAGGTTGGGACGTGAAGCGTGTATTGAAGAGTAGGTGGTTAAATGATGATAAACGGGGTGAAGGAAAAGGGAAAAGAAGAAGGCAATACAGAACTTCATGGGGTGGTAGTGGTGGTTTCATAAAGAGATGTGAGAAGTTGAAGGCCAGGAGAAGACAGGACATGGTTGCGGTCTATCTGCGGAGACACAGCACGCACGCTACATACAATAAAGATAAAACAATTACAAGATCAGGGAAGCTAAGACATGAGGAGCACACAACAGCATAAAGCCGGAGTTAGGGCAGAGGGCGAATCGAGGCCAGCTGTGTGAATTAATGGCATGGCCTACAGAAAGGAACAGTCCTGTCGTGAAGAACTAAATTATGTCCTGACCACATCCATTCGCTTCTCAAAACCAGTCAGTTTCCCATGAATTTGTTTCTGGTCCCTAGTCCTCTGGTTGCCTAGCACCCCCTCCCTTCAGTTCCCTCTAAGTCGCCATTTCAATCCAGTTCACTCCATTCTCAGTCCCTCCATCACCGTCAAATCAGGTCGCTCAAGCCCTTGGTTATCTGGTGTGAATAGACAGCCTTCTGGTTTGCCAGCGAGGTCCAAGTGAGCGACTCGCCCTCCTGGTCTCCAGCTGCATCTTGTTGCTTACCACAGGTAGCTATCGACTGCGATAGGTAGAGTAGGTAAGGAATGGAGAATTTGCTTCTTAACTTTAAGAAGGCGACTTAGGCGGGGTTCTTGGGGCCTGGGTCTCGGGGGAGGACGAGGGGACGGCTTGGGCTTGGGCTTGGGCTTCACGGGGAGAAGGGTGCTCGGTCTATTTTTAGTAGACATCTCGTCTGGTCCACGCTTTGTTTTTTGTCTGGTTTGGTTTGATCGTGTTTTCGGTTGTGATTGAAGGTTTGCTTAATCTTCTTTCTATATCAAAAAGATGATTGTTCTTGGTCTTCGCGGTCGTGATGTTGATGAGTGGTTGGTGATGGGTAGAGAAACATTTACCGAGGGGGAAAAAAGGAGAGTGAGATGATTGCCTCACTAGAAATGGCAGATGGTATCGTGGAACGCATGATGATGTTTTGGATATTCATTTCCATTCGACTCCCATTCCATCTCACCCCATCCAAATCACTCTTGATATTACAAGGTTTGTACAGTTGAAAGAAAACATATATAGTAGAAGGCCCCCTTGATTTCTCGAACACGTAAAAAAAAGTTTCAGCTCTAAATTAACCCTCCCCTAATTCCCATGCATCCTACTTGGTATCACTTTTATTTTTTTCGTCCCAACGCCTATCAGTGCAGCCATTTCCTGTTTTGTCCACTCCCGCTCCCATATATGCTTAAGTTTGTTGATGAGGTTATGATATCTTTTGATAACGATGGTCCGCGCCGCCAACCGCATTCGATACCCAATATTGCACATTATCCCGTAGAGATGCCGATCCCCTCTTTATCCCAGTGCTGATGCTTCCCGCCACCGATGTTGACGCTCTTCTTCTCTTCTCTCCTCCTCCTCTGTTGGGTCCTGAGGTAGACCATGCCGTTGTTGACACAGATGATTGACGTGGCACGTGCGATCCTGACGCGGCGCGCATACCCATACCGGGAATCGCCGTAGTTGTTGGTGGTGGTATTGTCATGTCTCGTCGGGTCCTTGTTGAAGAGGGGCTGAGCAGAGTCGGGGGTAGTTTCTGAGTGTCGCTGCCTATGCTGAGCCCGGACACGGCGGCGCGGTTTCTCCATTTGGGCAGCTTTGTGGAAAGCGATGGAGACCTTCTCGCCTTGCGGGGATCAGGCGCCACATTTTCCCATCCACCTCCTCCTTCTCTGCTTATCTGCGTCACCCTCTTTTCATCCCCAGCCTCCTCCTCTGTCAAATCGATGGTCTCTATTATGAGACCCAGCTTCTTGGTATGTCGGTATTGTTGATTTTGATGATAATCGTGTTGTTGTTGATGTTGTGGTGGGTCACACCGCGAGGGCATCATAGACCGGTAATTACACGACGACGGACTGACAAAGTCATGATCAATCTCCTGAACCTCAGGATCCCGTGCGCTTCATCCCTGCTTAGTAACCAAATCGCCCGTGGTGAAGATCTCGCACTTGATGCGCGAGGCCGAGACACCTTGCTGCATGAGGTAGAGTTTTTGGTTGATCATGAACTGCTCCGGGCCGCAGATGAAGTACTCAGTGCCGCCATGCTGAAGATGGAGCTCCTCGGGCTTGAGCTTGGCCAGGTCCATGCGCTCGTTGTAGTCATATGTCTCGCCAGGGCGATCAGTGCTGTTGATGACGGTCTTGAAGATCTTGGTTTGGAAGTTGCTATTCCTCTTGCGCAAAGTCTTGATGTGGTCCTCAAAGGGGATATGCTTGCGGCAGCCATGAATCCAGGCAATTTGGCGACTGGTTTGACTCTCCATAACTGTGTTGGCGATGGAAACCATGGGAGTGACGCCGACACCAGCAGAAATCAGAACCAGAGGCACCGTGCTCGTGTTGTGGACGTCCAAGAAAAACTCGCCAGCCGGGTGAGAGACCTGGAGGATAGAACCGACGGTAGTCTGATCGATAAGGTAGTTGGAGACGATGCCGGGGTTGAAGAAGGACTTGGAAACTGAGTTGGAGTAGACGGTACCCTCGTCTCGGCGGATGGTGATACGGTAGTAATCCTCCCTCCACGCCTCACTGAGGGAATACTGTCTGGACTGGCGGTTGCCACCAGGGACTTGGATCTGGACGGAGACGTACTGGCCGGGGAGGAATTTTGGTAACTTCTTTCCATCCTGAGGAACAAGATAGAAGGTGTAGAGGTCATCGCACTCGTTGACAATCCTGTCGATCTTGAAAGGGCGCCATGAGGGCCAGCTCTCAAAGTCCCTGTACAACTGTGCCTCGCGCCCAATCAACATCTTGGCCAGCATCCAATATGCCTTTGTCCATGCCGTCTGCACTTCGGGTGTCATCGCGGGGCCCAAAACCTCGCCGAAAGCCTGGATGAGATACTTGCCGACAACCTCGTAGTGCTCTGGCTGGATACCCAACGAACAGTGCTTGTTGCACATGCGCTCAAACTTGGGGACGAGCTCGCTAAGATGGTTAATGTTTGAGGCAAAGCCCAAGATGACGGCCGTCAGGGCCCGAGGTTGCCTGCCATTCTTCTGGTTTACCGAGTTGAAGTAGTTGTTAAGTTCGGGGTGGTCGGTGAGCATAGTCTTGTAAAAGCTGCTCGTTATCCTCTCACCGTGCTCCTTGAGAGCGGGTATAGTATCTCTGACGAGCTTACTTTGTTGGTAAGTGAGAGCCATGACTGTCGACAAGTGTCAAGCGATTTTTTCTTTTTTCTTTCCTGAGGGAGGCTTTGGTGTGGTGGAGCTCCAAGGGCGAGGGCGAGATGGTGGACGACAAAACCAGTGAGCGTAGTGTGATGCCAGCGACAAGGCGCGAGATGGGGAAATATTTATCTCTCTTCAAAAGAAACAGAAAAAGATGGTGTGGACATTTTCTTCTGGGGCCTCAACAGATCTCTTCCGTCCTCGGCCACACGATAGTTGGTAAAGGCAGGGCATGTGCCCAGAGGGACCCCTTCCAGACAAGGCCCAATGGATACAAGGACCCATCATCCATGAAGAGTGGAACAATGGCCATCCTCGCTCATACCAGGGTTCGGCGAGTCAGAATAGCCCGATCAGTCGTTGTTATCTCGTACGATATCCACAAGGGGCATTAAATCAGAGGTAATTGGACTGCCTGAGTGAAAAATTCACCGTCTGTCATATGTTGAAATTCTTGTTTCGTTGGAAAGTGCCATGTGGTGAGCAGGGGTCGCTTCTAGCCGTGATTCAACCCCAATCTCTTTTTTTTTTTTTTTTTCTGTTCTTGTCGAGCCTCAGCCCTGCCGGGGTTCGGGGGTACCGTCTAGGATCCAACCGCAAAACCGCCAACGTTCAATGCCATCGCCAGCATGGGGAAGCGGGAAAGTGGGAGGCCATTCCCGTTGTTTCCATGAATAGGTGACTTGCCGTGCTGTGCGGGTCGATGATACATGGCATCAAGGACGGGAGGGTGCCACTACAGATTTGATGAGATGAACCAGGGCCGAGCAACCCCACACCGCAGTTCCATGATATTCCTGCTTGTCGTTGCGGTTGAGATGGTGGCGGTGGTGGTGGTAGTTGATGAGTATTAGTGGTAATATTGGTGTAGAACAATCCGATGCATACACGGGAGCCGGATTTGCCTCGATGCCCGCAAAAAGACATACGCGGCCATGTGTTGCACAGATGCCGGAGATGAGATGCAAAAGACAGCATGGTCAGGACGAACGATGACTGGATGGTTCAAAAGGAGGCTCTGAAACACCCCAACAAAAGGTGGCCTTGTTCATCTCGTGGGGATTTCACAACGGCTTCGCATGCATGATGCAAATGATATGGCGTTGGATGCAACCCATGGACGGCTGATGTTGTTCTTACCGCTTCTTTTGGTCACCTCACTACCGGTGACTATTGTCGTCAGCTTGTGATGTCGTCTGAACTGCCGCGATACGGTTGGTTTTGAAGGCGTGCATTGGCGGCTCAATGGCTCACTGGCGACGACTGGGCACACTACAACAAGAGGCGGCTGGTTCGGAAGCTCGGCAGCGGGCAGACGTACCTCTGCAGGCCGACGTCGACAGACGGATATAATCCCGCCCTGTCTTGAGCCATGTTGTGTCCTGTGACCGTTGGTGACTCGAGAACGACCCAGTCGACAAGAAAATCCTTACTCAAAATGCCCCTAGTCGGCTGAGGCAGTTCGTTGTGTCTCAACTCTTTTTTCTTTTCTTTTTTTCTCCTTTTTTTCTTTTCTTTTTTCGAGCAGGATATCAACGGTCGGGCAAAGAGATGAAACCTGAACAGATGAGACATGAGGGTTGCCTTGGTTGGCAACTAGCTGATGGAGATGGGAGACCCAAAACCCCAGTCGAGAACGGACCCTAACCACTGGATTGGTCCGGCGTCTGTAGCGGCCTTACTCATTGGAGATTTTGCGTGGACTGGCAGGCTGGGCGGCGAGAGAAACGGGCGTGGTCGGGGTCGGCATGGATGAGCCGAGGAGGACTCGAACTGGGGGGGGGGGGGGGGGGGGG